GAGTAGATCTATTAGCCAAAGACTATTGTGGATTGTGGTGTAAATGTATGTCATGACTATCTGTCATGATTAACCACTTGTGTTAGCTCAGCTGTGATGTTTAGAAGGATATTGTCAAATCAAATGTCCTATTCCTTGTGTAAGGAGGTGGTCTTTTCTGATACATGTACCTCATGAGGAGGTTGTGCTAAGTCTGTGATGTTAGTTTTCCACCTCAGAGAGGAGTGTGTTGTGGAACAAGGAGTGTGAAACTTCTATTTAAACATGAAAATGTTCAAGTGATTCCTCATGTGTTTGGGTTTTCTCCTCAAGGGAGAGTGTTGATTATGTGTTACAGGGGAAGCTGTGTATCTGTCTGTGGTTCTGGATGTTCTAGCTTTGAGAGGGTGGTGGTTTGAACCAGGATTGTTCATACCTTTTAGGAATGACCTAAGAAACAATGATGGATATTGTTTGGAAGAATTTATTTTTCTTTGTAAAATGATTGTAGGGCTTAAAGGGAGCTTTGTGGATGTAGGTGAGATGTCAGGCATGATATCTTGACATTATGATCAGTTTTCAATCGAGTCTGTGTGAAAGAAGTAAGCTTGGGGTTTAGTGTAAAGCATTGCGTGTGTCCGATTAGTTCTTAGAAGGGTTCCTCTTTGAAACAATTTTGTGCCCCTCGGTCAGACAGATTACTTGGTGGATTCTGGTCTGAGTTTGATGATGAGGAAGTTGGTGCTACAACTTAAGTAGATTGGTAGGAGTATACAATGTCAAGTAGGATGTCAGGACATTGTATTGTGACTAGGTGGATCAACCAGATTTGACAAGTGGCCTTCAGCATGTCAAGTTTTTTTTAACTAGTTATTATTGCTTTTGAAGATATGTAAGTTACAGCTTGGAAGGCATGAAACGCGTATGCTTGTGTGTTCAAGGAAAACATCTTAAATGACATAGGAACTGTCATTACATTTGTGAGGGTCAAAGCTTGGAAAGAGAGAAGATTGAGTTGTGCACGGTTACTGAGGGTGATTTTATTCTCTTCCAAAAATGCTCTCCTTGACTGGTCTTTCGTTACTAACCAGGTTTGTTACGAGTTAGGTAACACTTTTTGTATTTAAAGACCTTCTACCTCACCTTTTCTTCACGACACATTTCAACATGAGTAAATCCTCTAAAGATTCTTATGAAGATCAAGTCAAGTTCATTGACTCTGGAGGAATTCTTGGTTAGTTCGTGTGTGTTTGGTGCTTTCTTTTGTTTCTTGGGTCTTGTGTTTCTGCTTAGTCTTTTGTTTTTAGCATTTTCCTCTTGGGTGAGTCGTTTTTTTGTTGGGTTAGTTTGGTGTTTTTTTCCTTGTTTTTGGTGTTTGTTTTTTCTTGGCTATTTTTGTAAATATTTTGCTAAAAAGTGGGAGAAAAGAGTCTAGTCTCGTGGTAAAGTCTTGTTGCCTTCTATATGTAACAATTTTGGGGTTACTTTGATGTCTGTCGTGACTCTGTTATCTGTTGTTGCTTCTGTTGTAGTTGTTTGCAGAATGTCTTACAACATGTTTTAACATCATGTTTGGATCTTGAGTTGTGTATTTTGTTGTGTCTTATGTTCTGCATTACATGTGTTGCTTCTGCTATATGTGTTTCTAATGTTTGTGGCTTCTGCCATATGCGTTTCTAATATCTTGAATTCTGATAATTCAAGATTGTGTTCAGGTTGATTTTCCTAGGCTTCGGAAAAGTTTCTTCTTCTTTTCTGAGAGGGAGAGTTATTCCTTCGTGACAATAATTGGTTATGTGGTTTAGGGGGAGTAACTTAGATATTCATGAAGATGCAGGATATCTTCTTCCTCAAGTACACAATTGCAATGGTTACATGTAATGCAACTGGTGTTATTGTTATGGTTTTATTCCTCTCTCCAGGGTTTATTGTGCAAAAGGTATTTTAGCCAAAAAATTGTCAAATGGGGAGATTGTAAGTTCCATGGTTTTAGGATTGACACCAATTTTGCTAAAACATGGTACACAACAACATGTTGTGTGTGATGTTGTAACATCTTTTTCAATTCTCTGTTGCGCATATGTCCTGGCAGATGATGGAACATATTATACCATAACATCTATTATGGTTGTTTTAATTCTTGACAAGATTTGTTTTGATTTTATGAAGATTCCTTTTGGAATTATCTCACATATTTTGCAAGTCAAGAAGACTGTATCTGGAACAGGTTTTGTATCTCCAACGATGCATATGATACTAAATTGGGCCTTGAGACGATTTAGGGAACTTTGTATCTTTTGTTCCAAGATTTAAGGAGATTTTGGTGCATCACTCAGCTTGTGGATCAAGAAACCTCTGGACGCAGATTTCAAAGCCCATAGACTGTAGATATGCATTTAAAAGGAAATCCTAACCTAATGTAATGCAGGGCTTTCACTATTGTAAAAACTAGGGGGAAGAGTTTAGAAACTTAGGTTTTGAGAGTCTCTTGTGTTGTGACTTTATAAGTCACCCTTTGTATCTTTTGATGCATCGTAGTAGACATATTTAGGTTGTATATTGTTCTCACTCTAAAGCTTTTAAGCATAAAAGTTGAGTATTGTTCTTGGTTGAAGCTTTTAAGCAAAACCGAATATTGTTCTTGGTCAAGAGTCTTGACCTAGTATTGTTCTTGAAAGAAAGAGGGTACATATTTCTTTTTGGTTTCTTGTGGCATTCCATGGGACTGAGAGTGTTTGTTTATCACTGCGGTGATTGGGAATGAGATGGTGATTTCTCATATCTTGGAGTTCCTAGGTAGAATTTGCACTGGGTAGGGATTAAGTGAGGGGTTGTAAACAGGAGAGTTTAACTCTGAATTAATACTGCTGATAGTGGATTTCCTTCTTGGCTTGGTATCCCCCAGATGTAGGTGATGTTGCACCAAATTAGGTTAGCAATCCTTTGTATTATTTATCTTTCTGCATTTAAAATTCTGCACAATTTAAATGGTTGGATAAATTATTCTGTCAGTTTGCAGATGTTACAACATTTGTCATGACATTGTACCTTGATGGTGGATTATCAAATTCCTTATCATGTATTGCATGTGCCAGAAAACTTCACATGTCTTTGCTTCGAGTCTTGTGCCAAATGCAACCTGAATCCACGATTTATTCCTTACTAAAGTTGTTGTTTAAAACTACCAGGACATCATATGATTCATAATCATCTTGCACAATAAATGCATTATCATTATCCTTACATCCATGATTATTTAGACGTTCAGGACACACATTTCTTATATGACCCTCCTTCTTACAGTGATAACACCTAGTTGTAGGAGAGTCACCACCAAAAGACTTCTGCTGACTTTTACCCATCTTCTTTTCAAACCTACCATCTTTCTTTGAGAATTTTCCCTTCAAGAACACACCTTCTCCAACAGATGATGACTTTTGCTCTTTTTTTTCATTGAAGTCTTTCGAGTAGGCTGATTGAACTTCTTCAAAGATCAGGGACTCTCTTCCATACAAGAGAGTTTCTTTGAAGTGAGCATGAGATATGAGTAATGCACACAACAACAACGCTTGATCTTCATCATCATCTTGACATTGATATTCTCCAGATCAAGAATTAACTTGTTGAACATATCCAGCTGTTGAGCCAAGACTTTATCTTTACTCATATTGAATGAATATAGAGCCTGCTTCAGGTAAAGACGATTGACCAAAGATTTGGTTATATAAAAACTTTCGAGTTTGCTCTACACACATGCTGCAATTTTCTCCTTTGAAACCTTCCTCAGAACCTTATTGCCAAGGCTCAAGATGATCCCACTGTGGGATTTTTCCATCATCGTCGTGTTCTTCTTCTCCGCTAAGTCAGCATCCATGACTTCGTCACCCTTCAACGCTTCTAGCAAACCCTTTTGAACAAGAAAGGCTCACATCTTCAAGCACCATAATTTAAAATCATTTATTCTGGTGAATTCTCAATCTCAAACTTCGTTGGCGGGATCTTGATCCACGCTCACTGCACCAGTTTGTTGAGACAAACGCCGCATTAGGAACAAAGTAATATTGTGAGAAAAGAGAGATTTTCTTGAACAAACACAAAAAGCGATTCAGTTACGAAGTGAGAGGAGACAAAGAAGACATAGTTGGTTATACAATTTTTTCTATTCACTTTCTCTAAGAAATGGTTTATAGATTACAAGTGAATAACAACTTAACCACTATTCTACCACACTAGAGTACATCCTCTCTATATATACTCTTAGCATATGTACATCATTTATGATGATAACACTCATATGTGACATACATAACTATTACACACCAAAATTATTAAGAAATGTGGTTGAGGCTAACTTAACCCTACAAAATCGGTTGTTAAGGTGAGGATTTCCCCTACTTATAAAGACACGTTCATGCCATATATTATCCGATGTGAGACTCTTAACACACCACCTCACGCTCATGACTAGACAACTGAAGTATGGAAATAAATGATGGATGACCCGATAACAAAAACCATAAAAGGTGGTCCACCAGATCTTAAATGAACCTCTCGATACCATATTAAAAAATGTGGTTGGACCTAACTCAACCCTACAAAATCGATTAATAAGGTGAGAATTGAAAACAAAATTGTATGCGAAAGTGTAATTTAAATCATTAGCGTGCTTGACATGACTTCAACTTTAATATGCTAATCTTCATAAATTAACTTGGCCTACTTACATATAAACATATTGAATAATAAAACTTTCTCTTGCCTTATCTATTTACATTCATCATTTTCTATCCACTCGTGAATATATTAGATGCACTCTACAAGCCACCAATAAAAAAAAGGTTATTTACTATAGTTCCCATAATAAATAGATCAACAATCAAATAGTACAAAGTGAACCACCTCTCAATCTATCAATGCTTATAGAAAAGAGGGGGAAGAAGTTGGTGGTTAATGAAAAAGGGGAAAGAGTCTATGAACTACCCTATCTAATGTAATATCCATAACAAGTAACCACAACAACAATGGCTCGTATTTCAACACTTTATCTCCTCGCTTACAACTCTTTTCAAGCAATTGGATGGTTCGTATCTTCATTTCATACTCCTTTTTCTATTCAATCTCTAATTTTCACATTACTCTCGTTTCACAGGGCCGTTTCGTTAACCATCATTTTGTTCAATCTTCTCTCCACTTCCTCCGTCACCGGAACTTTTGCTTCCGCTGGAACCTTAATTTGTCAGTATATTATTTATTGCTACTATCATTTATCATTCACCTCACATTACAGTTCTAATTGATAATTGAATATTTTGTTTAGGTTTTCTGCAATCTGCTGCATTCTTGGAAGTTATACACGGTGCTATTGGTAGGTTTTGTTACTGTCATCTATTTATTTATTTCCTGTAATCATTTCAAAAGAAGGTTGTTGATGCCTCTGCGACAAAACTGTATCAGAAGCTGCCGATATTACACGGTTATTCACTATTTTTACAATAAAGAAAAATTGTTGTTAATTCAACACGACGGACACTCGCAATAATACCTGGACCGACCGAAATCGCGAAGCCTTTACGCGACTGGAACAGTTTTTTAAACCTTCATCACAACTCATGATTGAATTGTGTTGAATTACAGGATTGGTTCCCAGTGGAGTGTTGCTTCCTATGCTGCAATGGTCAGGAAGGACTCACTTTGTGCTTGCCATTGTCAGGGGGATTCCTGAGGTTCTATTCTATGGATCACTTCACCTTCTTTTACTTTCATAAATGACATAGGAAATAATTATAGATTAATGTCAACATTTATATATACTATCTATATGATAGTAATTTTGAATACTATTTATCTGGTAAGATGTTATTGAAAGAGTGTGATTGTTGGTGTAACTCTTTTATTGTGATTTGATCCCTTTTCTAAATTGTGTATTTTGCTGTGTGTTTTCTCTAGGTCCAGGAGTTACCTTCTGTTTTTATCACTTTTCTTGCATGGAGCATAGGCGAGGTGATTTATTTACTTTTTATTCGATTGGATGTAGTTCATTTATGTTGAGTATGACTGATTTTACCGATATCTAGGAAGATTATCAAGTGTAGCAGCTCTGCTATAGTGCTACCGAAAAACACAGCTTTGTACTATGTAACCCTAGGCATTGCATGATTGAAAAACTACATCAGTCATGCTGTTGTCGAAGACGTAGGAACAATTAGTCAAATTCCATGATCAATTGTTTGAATACTTGTGTGTGTTTATTTATCTGTTTTCTTTAGAATCGAACTGTTTAACAATTCAATTAATACCATGAGTCTGTGACCTTGCTTGTTGTTTAAGCTTTTACCAGTTATAAGACCACTAAAGGCAATTTATGATATTTAGTGCTGGCGTTAAGTACTCATATATCATATATTCATCAAGGAAAAAACAGAACCATTATTTTATCATAATATCATCTACTCCGATATGATATGTTTTGTTTCAGCAGACAAACAGTGGGAAAATGACTCAATAATAACACGCGAGAAACTCACTATTCTTAGCAATTTTTATTTGATTTCTCTGTAAGTGACGTGCTTACAGATTCTCCTTTTCTACTTTTATCTTTTATTTTAAGAGAATATTAGGTGTTTAGTTCATGTTCTGCATTGTAGCCTTATTCTTTATTGCTCTTTACCAAACTTGCGGTATGATAAGTTTGCAATCCATGAAAATTGTGTTATAGACATAGTAGGATTATAACATGATTTCAAAGGTAATTTTGCTGCAATCTTTGGAGATGCAGGTCATTAGATATTCGCACTATGCTTTCAGTTGCTTGGGAAATTGTCCTTCTTGGATCACCTATATCAGGCATTTTTCCATCTTACCATTCTATATTCTCTTAAGTGGTTGAGATATGAATTTAACAAGTTATATTGTATGCTTGCTTCTCTATCTTTTGATGATTAGGTACACTGCGTTTATTGTGGTGTATCCTTTGGGAGTGTTTCCTGGAGAAGGTGAATTCTCATACCTATATGTCCCTCTTATCATAGTTTTGGTTATCAATGGGTTTTAAATTGATGTTACTTACTACTACTATAATTGACATTCATTTGTTCAATTCTTATGCAAGTGTCGTATCACCATTTTTATAAACTAGTGCAACTGATTAGCAATACATTGCAGTATGGGCGATGTACCAGGCGCTTCCAATTATAAAGAAGAATAATATCTATGCAGATTCCTTTTCAGTCCTCCCATTTAGTTATTATGATTTTCTTAAGGTAATTTTTTATGCCATCAATTAGTCATGGTTATTATTTCTTCTACTATAACCTCATTCTTGAAAATTGACTCATATAACACGTAGAAATTCTTTCAGTTTCACTGTGATGTTTGATCTAGGTCTACTTGTGACTTATCTGCACTTATGAATTGTTTATTCTTACAATTGATGATTCATTTCTCCCGATCAGGTTGTAATTGTAGTTTATCCATTCCTCTGGTTCAAACTATACCTGCATTTATTCAAGCAGCGGCGTTCGAAACTTTATAAACGCCATGACAAGAAAAAAGCATAAGGATCAATATTTACGGATTTTTGTTAATAAGACAAATATGATATAACTTTCTGTATCACTGGAGAACTGATTCTGAAATTTATTTGCATCTAAAATATTTCCTTTGATTGGATATCTATTGTACCAAATAATTGAATTGTTGTTAGCAATAATGATTAAGATTGTAGGAGCTAAAAGATTTGTAACATTGTGCCTGCATTATTCTGCAGTGCCCATATTTCTACTTTATACATTTTGATAGGACTCCTGGGCCTAGTAACAATGTTACCCATAGCCTGTATTTGAGGGTTTATTCCCTTGTATTCTCTCCGTTTTTATTTATAAGTCGTTTTTGGACTTTTCTCACGTATTATAAAAAAAAAGAAGTAATCATTGTAGTATGTAAGAATTTGATTTTGATCTTGCAAGTTAAAAAGGTTCAATGTGTTTTTTATATTGTTTATTAGCCTTTAGTTTTGTTACTCTAATTCTCAAAGAGGAATAGTCCTAATAATATGCAGTTTGACTTAAACGTAAGTAAAGTATAATCATGTTGATCAATGTAATCCCAGGACTTCATCAAAATTCATCGTGCAACGTAAAGTTAGTTAAGATTAACTTACTTCAAGTAAATCATTTAATGTTGAAGACTTCAAACATAATAGGGGTTGAATTGTAATATTTAAATTTTATATATAAAAAAAATGATTGATTTTAATATGATTTATATTAGAATGATGTTTGGGATTTATTCTTTAGTTGTTATCATCAAGAAGATATTAACCTACACAACACATAAAAGCACAATTAGGAAATGATATTTGAGTTATAGAATCACATTCCCTTCATAAGTTGCTTGAGTTGCAAGGCAACTTGCGGCACTTGATTTCAATCTAACATATTGGTATCTAAGAGTTTTACACAATTTAAAGGAAGTATTGATCTTTCAAGAAGTGAGATAGATATTTTGAAAGAAATAATGATAGGTAGAAATGAGACCTTTCATACTAATCTTATATTCTTGATTGAAAAAATTGTGATAAGTGGTTTAGGAAAATGAAGATATTTGCAGTTCATGATGTATATGAATAAGTGATCAATGGTGTGGAATTTGTACCTGCAGTTCCATCAGAAGCGCACATGACAACTTACAAGGATGTAAAGCCAAAAGAATGCAGGAATTTGTTCATTGCTCACCAATCTGATGATGCTAGGGTGTTTGAGAAGATTTTTGAATCTTCAAATTCTAAGAGTTCTTTGGATATCCTTGTAAAGAGCTATGGAGGTGATGTAAAGGTCAAATAAATGAAGTTTTAGGTTTTGATAAAACAATGTGAGTTGATGAAGATGAAGAATGATGAGAAGGTAGTTGATTATTTTACAAGGTTGATGACTCTCACCAACTAAATGAAGAGTTTTTTGGAAATTCAACCACAATCTATGAAGAATTTCACCCAATCAATATTGATTTCAAGATTGTTCCCACTCACGTAATGACAATGAAAGAAAAGTTTAGAAAGAAAGAAAGAAAGTAAACGTTGGAGAAGAAGAAGATGAACGGTTTTTTGCAAAGAATTCTCTGTCCACAAACTGTGGAAATTCTATTATTTCACTTGCAACTAGAAACTGTGAATTACAAAATATGATGAGATGACATGAGATGTTTACAAAATAAGGGTTTCTCCCTATTTATAGGTTTAGGTTAACTTGCATCTCAAGGTAAAGCCAAAACTATAAAAGCCCCAAAATATCTAATATAAACTTTTTAAATCAAATCTAATCTTTCTAAAACAATGAATTTCATATTTAACACACCACCTAATTCATTGTGTCTAAACTATCCACATTCATCATAAACCTTAACTTCTTGAACACTCCCTTCGTCATGATGTCTGCAATCTGGTTCTCAGTTCTGCAGTGTTTCAAGTTCATCTTCCTTTCTGCTACCTGTTCTCAAAGATAATGAAACCTCATTTCGATGTGCTTGCTTCGATCGTGTGTTATTGGGTTCTTCGCCAAGTTGATAGCTGACATGCTGTCGATCTTCATGGTAATTGCTCCATGACTCTTCATTGTGATCTCTTTGACTAGGTTCACCATCCAGGTTGCTTGACATGCACAAAGAGAAGCAGCTATATATTCTGTTTCGCATGATGACAATGCCACTACTGGCTCCTTTCTCGAACTCCAAGCAACTAGTGCACCAGCTAGTATAAACACATAGCTAGCTGTGGATTTTCTATCCTCAACATCACTACACCAACTAGAGTCAGCGTATCCTACTAACTTGTATTCTTTTCCTTCATCAGCTGCAGGAAACAAAATGCCATAGCCGAGAGCCTCTTTCAGATACCTCAATATCCTCTTCGCTGCTGCTAGGTGTGATACCTTTGGCTTCTGCATGAATCTACTTACCATACTTACACTACATGCTAGGTTAGGCCTTGTGTGAAAAAGGTATCGAAGTGACATAATAAGTCTTCTATATTGGGTTAGGTTGACATCATCTTCATCTGAATCCTTCGACAGTTGCAATATGGTCTCAGTTGGAGTCGAAGTTGGGTTGCAATCTTGCATCTCAAATCTCTTGAGTATTTCACCTGCATATCTTATTTAGTGCATCATCAAACCTCTACTACTCTTGTAGAATTTGATGCCAAGAAAATATGAGAAATTTCCCAAGTCTGGTATTTCAAACTCCTCACTCAAGTTATGTTTGAAGTTTTCCATCTCCTTCTTGCAACTTCCTGTTATCAACAAGTCATCGACATAGAGGCATAGTATAAGTAGTTCACTACTGCTTCTTTTACGTACACTCCATGCTCAGTCGTACACTTCACAAATTCCTTCTCCCTTAAGAAGCCGTCGATTTTCTTATTCCAAGCTCTAAGAGCTTGCTTAAGTCTATACAGGACTTTATATATCTTGTACACCTTTCTTTCTTCGCCTCATTTCACAAACCCAACTGGTTGTGCAACATAAACTTCTTCGTTTAAGGGGCCACTAATGAATGCAAATTTCACGTCCATCTGACATGTGTGCCAATTGTTCATATTTGCTAGACCAACAACCAATCTGATTGTTTCGATCCTAGCAACGGGTGCAAAAACTTCATCGAAGTTGATTCCTTTCTTCTGAAGAAATCCTTTCCCCACAAGTCTCGCCTTGTGTCGAGTTACTTCTTCTTTAGGATTCACCTTCACATTGTAAACTCACTTCACATTAGTTGCCTTCTTTCCTTGAGGCAAATCGACAAGTGACCAGATGTTGTTAACTTCAATGGAGTCTAACTCCTCATTCATTGCTTTCACCCACTTCGAATCTTTTAATTCCTCAACTGCATTGACTGGTTCAACATCTGCATAGAAAGCATAGTGTACTATCTTACCTTCTTCATCGACCACATCATTTGATGTAATCACACATTCTTGCAACCTTGCAGGCATCTGTCTTGTTCGTCGAGGTCTGCTTGGGCCAGCTTCATCTCTGACTTGTTCATGTCGAACTTCACTTTCAACTTCAGTGGCTGGTTCTTCACAAGAGATTCTCACTAAATCCTTCTTGACATTCTCAGTCCAATCACATTCTTTAAGCTCATATATGATCACGTCCCTACTGATCACTACCTGCTTATTCACTGGGTTGAACAACTTGTAACCTCTAGTCGAATGATATCCTATCAAGATCATCTGATTCGACTTGTCATCGAGTTTCCTTCTCAACTGATCTGGCACATGTCTATGTGCTATAAATCCAAACACCTTCAAGTGAATGAGGCTAGGCTTGACACCATACCAAAATTCTTTTAGTGTGATTCCTTCAAGTTTTGTCGGACATCTGTTTAATATGTATGTTGTCGTCGAAACCGCTTTTCCCCATAATTCTTTGGGTAGATGCTTTCCATTCAACATAATTCTCACCATGTTCATGATGGTTTTGTTCTTTCTTTCTGCAATTCCATTTTTCTGTGGAGCGTAGGGTGGCACCACCTCATGCACAATCCCTTCTTTTTCACATAATGCATCGAACTCTTTCGACACATACTCTCCACCACCATCAGTCCTTAAAATTTTAAGCTTTCGAACACTCTGTCTTTTAACCATAAATTTGAATCTGGAAAATACCTCGATCACATCACTTTTCTTCTTGATGAGGTAAGTCCATAGCTTTCGACTGTAATCATCTATGAACATGACAAAGTATATGTTGCCTGCAATCGAATCCACCTGGATTGGACCACATACATCAAAGTATATGACTTCCATAATTGCCTTCGACTTCCTTCCTGCATCCTTGCTGAAGCTATTCTTGTGTTGTTTCGACTAAACAAACTCTTCAAAAACTTCACTTGGAATGTCGATTTCAGGTAATTCTAAAGCCATATTTCTTCTCTTTAGCTTTCTGATGTCATTGAAGTTGAGATGACCTAGTAAAAAATACCACAACCATTCATCTCTGCTGGTTGTAGTTGTTAGGAACTTGTGCTCCATCACATTGAGTTCAATCTTAAAGGTCCTATTATGAGACATTGGAGCCTTTAAGATCAACCTACCACCTGCATCGAGAACTCTCGTAATCTTATCTGTGATCGACACCTTGTAGTTCTTTTCGACTAGCTGCTCTATACTGAGCAAATTACTCTTCATTCCTGGTATGTATAACACATTGGAAATTGTTGACCTCTTTCCATACTTCCTCATAATCAAAACATCGCCAATACCTTCAGCTCCTAGAGTAATGTCATTAGCAAATTTCACCATGTTCTTCGACGAGGGCTTCATGTTGATAAACCAATCTTTCTTTCCAGTCATGTGTGATGAGCATCCTGAGTCCAAGTACCACTGGTCCTGGAATCTCTCTTCGTCTCTTGTTGTGACCATTAGCAACATCTTTTATTCTTCATGCTTCGCCATCTTTGCATCAGTTTCTTGATTCTTCTTCTTTTCTCAACATTCACTAAAGTAGTGACCATACTTCTGACAATTGAAACACTGAATGTGACTTTTGTTAGGCTTTCATCC